TTTAGACCCATCAAAACACGAGGCTTCGTGGCCGATCACAAAAGTCTACGGGCTAATCGAGGCCGATTCGCCCTACCGCGTGCACGTTCACTAAACTGCCTACTAGATCTAGATCAGTGGTTTTCAAACTTTTTTCGCCCACCGCCCCCTTTTTCACCCAGCCGAGTCCCAGCGCCCCCTACTCCTCCCCACCCATCAATCTGACATAGCGATATGCACACAATCACAAATATAGAGAGAGCTCAAACAGCAAGGTACAAAAGAACGTGCCTAAATTCTAATGATTTGGTTCTGAATAGAAACATTACTTGGGTCACTTTATAGATTATAAGTTATGCGTGTACAGGTACGAAGGATATTAAAAGACATTTTGTCCTCAGTATTATGCAAGTGCATTGAGAACACAATGCTGTAATTTTATACATTTAGTTGTCGTCGGTATTAAAAGGCCAGGGTCATTTACATCAATAAAAGTAATACATGTATTATCACGTATTACATTTTATAAAGAAAAAAAATCGCAAGAAAATCAGTGATCATTGGTATGAAAACAGATTGGCATTATCTTTATGAAACGTTTTCTCCCTACAACGTGCTGCAATAAAGTGGTCTGTGGCTTGTATATCAAATATCTCCTTTGCAGAACATAAAAATATATATTATATGCTCTATGGACGAACCTTGTGTGTAATGCAGGCTGTCACTCAGGTTTTTTGCCACCAAATTCAGTCTGTGAATAACACAGTGAACGGTAAGTACTACAGTGACTGATTTCTTCAAGAAGTTCGTAAATCCACGGTAACGACCTGTCATCAACGGTGCCCCATCTGTTGCACAGGCAACTACATTAGTCACAGGGATCTGTTTCTCCTGGAAAAAAAATTTGGACCACTTTGAAAATGGACTTGCCTTTGGTATGTTTCCAACATTTTCGCATATAACAATTCTTGTATTATTTCCTCACCCTCTATGAACCGATATCCAGATGAAGACTGAACTCACGTCCTTTAAACTTAAGCCTTTTGCACAATGATTCCTCGACATAATATGCTGACATCTCATCAATATGTTTTTGAACGGTATTGTCACCTAGTGGGAGAACTTTCAACACAGGCATCGGGGCACGGTGCGGGACTGTGCTAACCACCTCTCTGATCACAGGTAGTAATCATGAGGTCCTGACCAATAGTATGGGATTTGCCTGCCTTTGCAATTAGCAGTAATAAATGATAACGTTGCTCGTAAGCCTTCATCTGCTTGATCGACGCTGGCTGCAAACATCGATTTAACCGTTATTAGTTTCTGAAAATTGATCTTTAGGGTTTTGAAGTATGTCAGATCTTTGTCAGATTTGTCGGGATGAATCCTCTTTTGATGGGCTTTGTAACTGGGAAAGAAAGTTCTTAGTTTTAAATAGTATTGTAAACTATGCCTAAGCTTTCTTTAAATGTTACATGTATAAGTTTTTTTTGTGTGTGTGGCTTCTTTTTCTTTTTACTTTTTGTTTTGTTTTGCATTTCACGAAAATTTCACACCGCCCCATTGACGCTCACTAGCGCCCCCCAATCGCCCAATTTCGCTACAGCGCCCCCCAAACTGTCGCCACCGCCCCCTTGGGGGCGGTAACGCCCACTTTGAAAACCACTGCTGTAGACTATGAAAGCATTTTTTAAAAAGAGCAGACATATTTCAAACAGCTTGAAACTAGCAGGCTGCTGTGGGAATTAATTAGCCACAACACATTACATAGGTAGGAAACTCGAGTGGAGAGATGTATCGAAGGTCTACCTCTCCCCTGTCTTGCTTACTAAGTGAATAAGGGAATGTTTTAAATCTCAAACCGGCATTGCATTAAATATGAAAGGAATGGTAAATTTGATTCTGACAACAGCTCTAAAGTAAAATATAAGTTTTAAGAAGTGAGATTTGCTTTTTACCCTATTACTCCCGCTTACCACAGACCCGGTGGGAAATTATGTGGCGGACTCTGAACCCGGACTGGGCCTCAAGCCCGGCCTCATGAAATTGGCCACACACGCAACAGATTTGACGGGTTAGGAGGTTTGGGGCCATATCCTTATGCACGTGTACAGGAACCTTGAATTGGGTCGTTCATATATCTGTAATTTATTACTGTTGGCTGTCACTCGATTACGTCTACATTATTCTAATCAGACAAATCGTGCCTTTAAGTTGTTTAGATGCATTCCCTCTGCTGAATTTTTGCAACGTTATCTGGTTGCGTTCGTGCAGCTAAATTTACCCCTATTATAACCTAGTTGCATTCATTCTACACATACTGAATTCAGACCATGCAATATGAACTGGTTCAATCCTTTACTATTGAAACCAGTTAATTTTTTTGTTTCCGTGGTTACTTTCCCAAATCTATTTTCAATAGTATCGTCAGTTTCGATCGCTAGGCGTACGGTATTGTATGCAGTGTTTCAGTTGATTTACAACTGTTTAGTGAGCATAATGTAATCGTCATCTCGCAGAAAGGCTTCTCGTATACCGATATTCTCTGTTTGGCCTCTAGACTGAGTAACTGACGGAACTTCTCTACTCATGACGCCAAAGGTCTTGAGGGCACCTAAGCATTCTCTCCATGCCGTGTGCAGAACATACGAAATGTCAGGGATCGTGAGTTTGTGGAGAGGTAATGTTCAATACAAAAAGCTCTCTGCTCTTTACTAAACGTAGCCATGATCTCAGCAGGTAAACAAAATTTAGGAAAAATAATATCTGCAGACGTCTGTTGACTTGTTAGACTGCTGTAGCTTGCAATATGGCGCGATTGTTGCAATTTTTAGTGGTAGGCCTAATGTGAACTGGTGCGCCATGCTATGAAAATGGCGACAAGGTTGAAAACGGGTTGGTTTTTTTATGCGCTATATAGAGCAAAACCATTCAATGGACTTATCTGAAATACATATCAGACAAATTCCTTTTGGCTTCCAAACGTTATGTTCAAATCTGAAACGCAAAACTTCTGAATGGAGGAAGATATTTACAAAACAAGTTGTAAAGGTTTTTTTGGATCACCCTGACTTTATTGAGGATAAGCTGCCCCATACATTTTGGACCGCACTATAGGCAGTCAATAGTCGAGTACGAACCGTTCACCTTGCCCTTTAGTTTGGCTCCAAATTTATTCAAATGGCGTGCTATATAAAGAACCAGAATTACTAATGAGCCCACTATCCCGGATGTTGTGAAACAAGTCTGTAGATTAAAAGAAGAGACGTCA